AAAAGGGGGAAGAAAAAAAAATTTTTTTAATATTTATTTAATTTATAAATAATAAATATATATTTTTTTTTTTTTTTTTTTTTTTTTTTTTTTTTTTTTTTTGCTTTATTACTTCTTTCACTTTCAGAAGTTTACAAACGTTTCCTCATTTGGCACCATTCCGTTTATGCTGAATAATGTAATTCAAATGTTTTGCATAAAGACATTTCAATCTGGAGAGACTCAGACGGAGAAAGAAAGCGATTAAAAGAGTTTAATGACAAAAATGAACATGAAAATAAACACAAAGTCCTTTGGCGTTCAGGCCCCGGCCTGTGATGTCGAGCTGGAACTTCGATAAGCTCGATAAACATTCCTGATGCTGCATGGGAATGTAATCCCCCCCGGGGCCTGTACTGGTGGCGGCGGTCGAAGAAGGATGTGGCCTGAGAGCCGGGAGCAGAAGGTGGAGATGGGGCAGAGGTGGGTTGATCGCAGCTGGTAAGCGGAGGAGACCGTGGCCAGGAAGTCCTTTCCTCCTGGAGCTCGAACGATGATTGGCTGAAGCGAGGCTTGACCCAATGCTGATAGGTCCAGGGTGAAGAGAGGGAGGCGCTGATTGATGAGGCACGTGAGGCTAAAGAGCCTTCCAGATTGAACTTTTGTCAAGACTCCATTTCACAACAGTTTGTTGGGAGTTTTGACCTTTTCCTGCAGTCAGAACTGGTGTAACTGAGTCAGATTTGTACGCTGCTTTGCTCAAATACGTACTTTCAGATATTCCCACAAACTCTCCATATGACTGAGATGAGGGCTTTGTGCTGACCTTGTTGTCCTTGAGTCATTTTGCAACTAATTTGGTTGTTCAATTAGTGTTGCGTCCATTTGGAAGACTTGCCCCCTCCCCCAAAAGCTTTAACTTCCTGGCTGATATTTCACCCATTATTTCAATATTTCCTCATTATCTTCTTTCCTTGTCATGCCCTCTAAAGTGTGAAGTCCAAGTTGTCTCTTCTTCAGCAAACACCCCCACAACATGATGCTGCCACCCTCGTACTTGACAGTAGCAGAGGATGTCCTCAGTCTTGCAAGTTTCCAGTTTTAGATTCCTCTGCCCACACAACTTGTCTCCAAGCGTTATATTATTATATCTAGAATTGAACATGCCATTTAAGAAGATGATGTTGACACTAAAACAAAAGTAAAACAACTAGCAGCACATTTCTCAAAACAGTCAACAGAATCAAGGATATGGAAACATTCAGTCATTGTGAAAGTACACACTTCTCATCAAGGGTGGATTGATGCCACTTTGGAAATTCGGCTAACCGGCCCTCACGCAGGCGAGCTAACTATAAAAGACGAGGACTCTCACATGTTCTGTCACTTCAGCGCCTGGTTGAGTATTTGACAATGCTGCGGAAGGTATCGCAGATTTCTTATACTCCGGATTTGCATTTTCTCTGCATTTTCTCTGCAATACTTTCTCAGCTTTTTATGTGTTTTGCTGTATTTATTAAGCTTGTTTGTTCTCAAGCAGCTGTGTTTTTTTTTTTTTTTTTTTGTTTGTTTTCAATTCTCCAGGGTGTTACTGAGAGCTTTGGAGCTGCTATCCATGCCCTGGGTGCCTCTCAGCTGACAGATGGTGTGATTAACAGGAGCAAAAGGATGATGCTGGACACCCTGGGTGTTGGGCTGTTGGGAACCCGGACAGCTGTCTTCAACAAGGTTCTTAAGTACAGCCAGGTAAGCCGAGACGAGTCAAATCATCCGTTTTCCTAATGTGAGCTACATTTACCCAAGTCCTGCTCTTCCTCACTTGACCTCTTAATGCTGAGATTTTGAGTAAAATCTGAAAGCGAGCGCCGCTGCTCACTAAAGATCACTTTTCATCCATTGGTCTGATTGCAGATGCTCACATCTGAGCACAGAAGCAGCATTTGGGGAAGATCAGACAGAACGCTGCCTCCTTGTTATGCCGCGCTCGTCAACGGCATCGCAGTAAGTTTCGACGCAGAAATGCACCACAATAGAAAGTGAACGCTCCACATTTTATCATGTTCCAGTCACAGCTTTTGCAACTGGTTTGTATTATTGTGCTGGTAAAATCTCAACAAAACATATTAAAGTTGCGAACTACTCATGCAAAATTTTGTGCATCGTACGATTTGTCTCTCTTTTGACCTTTGGTGACCCCTGTGAGTCAAGGTTCACTCCATGGACTTTGATGACACTTGGCATCCAGCGACTCATCCTTCTGGAGCCGTTCTGCCGGCTCTGCTGGCCCTGGCCGAGACGCTGCCCAGCCGGCCTTCTGGTCTGGACTTGCTGCTGGCGTTCAACGTTGGCATCGAGGTGCAAGGCAGGCTGATGAGATTCTCCAGGGAGGCTTACAATATCCCCGAAAGGTGGGAAACGTTTGGCATTATCTGAAACCATTAAGATTACTTTCAGATTATTCTCACCCAGTTGTAAGTGGATGAATCCCTGAAGACATGTGAGCCTTAAAAGGCTTGTATACCAGTTATTAAAAAAAAACTGAGTCATAAAAAGTGTATCAATAGTGCAGGAAGTTTTCTTTAATTATGACATTATAGTTTTGTTCACCAGGGATTACAAAACTGCATAAGTTTTTGAAACAATTCCATTTTTTTTCCGATTTTGTCATGTTGAAACCGTAACTTTTAATGGAAGATGATAGTTGTTTTTTTTTTTTTGTACAAATAAAATCTGAAGTGTATTGTTTTTATTCAGCCTTCCTGAATATGTACTTTAGACCAGTGTTTTTACACGAAGGGGCCGCCAGGGGGCGCTGGGTGGCCTCATGAAAGTTGGAGGAAAGATTGGGGGGGATGCAATAATATTAATAATAATAATTTAATCTAATAACTATTTTAACTGATGTTTTCGTCATAATTTCAGTTTTGCTTTTCAATAATTAAAAAAAAAGTAAGTTAAAATAATTGGTTTAAATGTTATTTCTGACACTCATTTTCTGATTAGGTGTCAGTCCAATTAACCAAGCTGCTTTGCTCCTCATGCTGGCGTAACAAGCAACAAATGGAAAAGTTTGTGACAAGAAAAAAAGCCAGAGAAACTGGTTATGCTGCAAATAACCATAAGAAATAAACTGTGGAAATAAAATAAAAATTGATGTGATTAGTATAAAATATTACAGATTTTCTTATAATCTAAAGGGGAGACTGTAATGAAATATTATATCATCTAGAAATACAGTTAGATATTTTCTGGTAACAAAATTTTCCACCACAGTAAAGTACTCATGACCACCTAACAGATGGTATGAGGCTGTATTTAAGCAGAAAATAAAACATTTTAAAAGTTGATGTTTCTTTATATATTTTGTAGCATTGTCTGTGGATTTTAAAAGGAGGCCCCTGGTCAGAGGCTAATGTGTTTTGAGGGACCATAGCAAAGAAAGGTCCTTCTTTAGACAGATTCAAGTTTTTTGTCTCTTCTTTTACGAGACAAAATGGCTCAACTTAAGTCAGATTGGGTGAAGAAATGGAGAACATCCATTTTCAAGTTTCCTCATTTGGTTTTAGGTGTGGCCATTTAAAAAAAAAAGAGAGAGAGAGAGAGAAATCAGTGTGCTTTAATCTAAAATGCTCTGGTTATGAGTCTCAGGTTGTTATTCTGCTGGGAGATGAACCTTTGCCCTAGTCTGGAGTGTTTTGCAACTTTTTTTCTCAGTGTTTGCCGGTGTTTTTCATGTTCCTGATAAAGAAAAGCATCTCTTCTGACCCGAAGACCTTTTTACCACACGATTGCTAGATACCCTGTGTGGTTTGTGGCGAGATGCAAACAATTTCCTGCTGCTTTCTTATGAAACCTATTGTCTGTTTACTATTTCAACAATCTTCTTGTCAGGTGTTTCAGCTATGGTTTGACATGCTGATGTGGTACAACTGCATGTTTCTACCGCTTTGTGTTAGTCCATACCGGTAAAATGCATCGTAGTATAGTTGTAACTTGACAAAATATGAAAAGTTTAAAGGTTTTTAATACTTTTGCATTTAACTGTATTTGATGTATTAGCTTCTCATGAAGTTTCAATGGTTTACGAGCACAGGAAATTGTTGTATTGTCCACAAACATTCTAACTTGGCCCTTTGTTGCGAATCCTCAGGTTCCACCCTCCCAGCATAGTTGGAGTGATGGGGAGCGCCGCGGCCTCCGCCAAACTCCTCGGCCTGTCTCCTTCTCAGTGCAGTCACGCACTGGCCATCGCAGCCTCCTCTGCTGGGGCGCCTTTGGCCAATGCCGCCACTCAAACCAAGCCCTTCCACATAGGGAACGCAGCTCGGAGAGGCTTAGAAGCTGCCCGGCTGGCGCAGATGGGACTGGAGGGAAACCCCTCCATGTTGGACATGGACGTCGGTTTGGGAGTTTACTACAAGGACTACAGCCCTTCCACGATGCCAGACTGTGCCTCTGGTGCCTTCAGGTGGATCCTGGAAGATCAGGATGTGGCATTCAAGCGGATCCCTGCTCACCTGGCCATGCACTGGCTGGTGGACGCAGCTCAAGCGGCCCTTGGGAAGCTCCAAGAGGCGGCCTGGAACTTTGACCTCAGCCAGATCCAAAGGGTCACCCTGAGAGTGCCTCCATCCAAGTACATTAACTGCCCCTTTCCCACCACGGAGCATCAGGCCAGGCACTCCTTCCAGTTCAACGCCTGCTCGGCCCTGCTGGACGGCAAGGTGACGGTGGCTTCCTTCGACCCAGCTCAAATTAACCGCCCCGCTCTGAAGGAGCTCCTTTCTAAGGTTGAGGTGAAGACGCCGGGGGACAACCATCCCAGCTTCGACAAGATGTACTGCGAGGTCCAGATAGAGACGGCTCAGGGAGAAAGCTGCACAGCCAGATGCAATACCTTTTACGGCCACTGGAGGAAGCCGCTGAGTCAGGAGGACCTGGTGGAGAAGTTCATAGTTAATGCTTCGTCGGTATTGTGCACGGAGGGAGTGGAGGGAGTGATTGATGTGATTGGGAACATTGAGAAGGTGCCGGAGTGCTCGGTCTTGGGCTCGTATCTGAGAATGACCAGCAACACACTCGAGCAGGTGTACAGCACAAGAATGATCTGAGTAATTTAAAGGGACAGTGTTGTGCAAAATATACTCAACGTCATGCTGTAGCGTTATTCCCTCTTCAAAAGCATACCTGAAGTGTTGCTTTGATTTTTTTCATGAATGATTGAGGAATCCCTGTGGTCTAAACAATCGCTGCCTTTTTTCACCCTGACCAACTCAGCTCCTTCAGACTAGACAGCAGCAATTAGCAAACACCTGAACTGAGCATCTACTGAGCTAATAAAAGGAGTTACTAGCTATATGATGAGATGCTGGTAAAAACATGAACAGAGGAATGTTGTGATGATGCTAAATGTGCTGGAAAGAGCAGGAGCTTCTTAAAGAGACAGAGGCTCGATTTCAAGGCGCTAAATTGCAAAGTCTAATTTCTTTTAAGTCATGCTTTATATATACATAATCGTTTAGGTGAAGCTATGAGTTACTTGGTTGTACCATAAAATGGCCTAGAAAACATAACACTGTCTCTTTAAAATAATGTATTCCATAATCTTGCAAGAAAATGTAAAATGTAAATATTTATTTTCTGTTGCCGGAGTGATTTGGGTGAAATAAATTGAACTGCAAAGCAAGTTTTCTTTATTGATCCTCAGAAATTTAATCAACAATGACAGTGTTTGAATACAATGAAATAAATCCTTTTTTTTTTCCTTTTCTTTTTTTTTTTGGTGAACCAAAAATTTCAAACATGATGACCATGTCAGAACTATCCCCAAAAAGCTAACATTTCAAGAGTATCTGTTTTTAATCAAGTTTAAATCTCCTTGTTAACTCAGCAGCTGTCTATAAAAATAACTTGGCAAATCTACACTCCGACATTCGTTTCTGGGTTCTTCTTCCGAATCAGGCCATCTTCAAGACGCCCTGCACCATGGAGCCGATCCCGTCAAAGATCTCGTGGATAGGAGCGTCGCACATGAAGGCGCAGGTGGTGACCAGCTTGTTCTTCTCGTCCACGTGGCTCTCGCCGACGCCCTTGCTGACGTGCTTGCAGCCCAGCTGGTTGATAGCGTCGGCCGTTCCCGCCGTGTCTGGATACCTGAGCAGGAAAAAAAAAAAAGAGTTACTTGCTGCATGAAGCGACGGTTTAATCGTCAGACCAAACTTTTTCCTTTTTTTTAGCTAAATACCAGAATTTTTTATTTTTATTTTTATAAGTTCTAAGTGCTTTAACATAAAAAGCTGTGAAAGTGACTGGTCATTACAACCATCCTTACATTTGGACTAGAACGGCAGAACCTTGTAAGCCTGAGATTAACCACTCAAGTCTGCAGAAAATGTCGGATGGATAAAGTTTCTCCTTTAGCTCAGTGAAGGAAAAAAAATGAATTTATGCTGCAGAAAACAACCCACAAGATCTTCCATAATGGAACGTCTTGGTCCTCTAGTCTCTTCTTTCATCAGCAATATTTTCTAGCTCAACTCCAGCTTCACCTCAGATGTTTTGATCACTTCTAAAAGTCTTGAAAGCTTGAGTTTCATTGACACACAGTCAGAGATGAAAACTGCTATGAAACGGCGTGTGTCATGAAATCCATGAGTACAAGTTGATTACTGTAAATGATCGTTTGCCTGACATTGCGAAACCAACCCTGCAGCATTTGCACGTTCCCTGAAAATGCTTCCTTCCTGGTTAACGTGAAAAATCGGCATCCTGCCAAAACTCTAGTGGTGGTGCGGGCACACTGTTGTGAATGTGCAGAGGAACTTGGGGTGAAGAGAACTGCTCAATTTCTCTTTCATATGTAGTTATGAGAAAAGAGAGAATTTTTTTTTTAGCAAACCTGCAGTTTCATTAGGGATTAAGGAAAGGCATTTGCTTCATTCCGCTAATTCCCACCCGGTCTGGAGCGTTCAAGACTCACTTGCTGTCCTTCTCGATGCCGACGGTGACCTCGCAGCCCGGAAGCACCTTGGCTGCCAGGACGGGCGAGATGCAGCAGAGGCCAATGGGTTTGCTTTCGCTGTGGAACGCCTGCAAAACGGCCTTCACCTCGTCGTTGACGGAGCAGTCCTTCCCCTGCACTGCCCACGTACACAGGTTCTTTGCCGCCCCAAAACCACCTGAGAAACGACAAAAAAAAAACAACAAAAAAAAAAAAAAACAGGGAGTTACAGCACAGCTTTCACTTCCACCGCCCACTGTAACATCTGTCGGGAGGGAACTGCAATCAAAGAGACCGCAGCAGCGGTGGATAAACCTGGGAATATGATGGCATCATGGTCTTTGGCACTGAGCTTAGACAGATCCTGGATGTTCCCACGGGCGAGTCGTGCGCTCTCCACCAGAACGTTTCTCTTCTCCTCGCAAGGTTCACCTTTCAGGTGATTGACCACGTGCATCTGGTCGACGTTGGGAGCAAACATTTGCACCTGGAAGCGAGGAAAAACGGAGAGGAAGCAATTTTTATCAACAGAACACAACCAGCATTGCAAACTGAAAACTATACGAGTAAAACTACGATTTTAAAAGAATAAAGGATATCAGATTTCTTGAGGAGCTTTTCATATTCTCTTGTTTTAAAGACTGATATTTTTAACGTCCCAGCAGCCACTGAATGCAGCATTTAAACATCTGCGCTGACTGGAACACCCAGAAGAAAGAGGAAAGTCAACAATATGCAATCAATGGTTTTGGGCTTTTAAATATGGATTTGAACCATTCTTTTTCCCAGATGGAATAATTACACAGTAAAATTAAGTTTTAAAATGGGTTTATTTTCTCCAGTCTATGCACGGTAAAAAATATGCATGCATGTTTAAAGCTACAATAACAAACACTAATATTTGAATATAAACTTTGCATCAAGTTTCAGTAAAACCTAACTTCAGGCATAATTCTGCCTGAACACTCTTTATTAGAAACGGTAGAGGACATTTAAACTGGACTTCACTGTTATATTAGAGGTTATTCCAGATGATCAATATTCGATTATTTAATCCATTAGAAAACCAGTTTTTAGTGGACTGGAGGGACGAGCACACCCTGTGGTCCGCTCAGCTGCTCTCTTAAGGCATTGCGGAGTATTTTGATTCTGAGCACTTCAGTTGCCAAACCAGGCTGTGATGCTGCTGTACATGTCTGGACTTCGACAACAATATGTGAGAATAAAGACTAAGAAAGTAGTCCCTGTTCCAAGACTGACCTCTTTAAGATTAACTGAAATTTTGAGCAAAATTTCTTCTGGAGAAAATTTCTATTTTGAGCCACTTGGCTACAATGACAAACAAAATGTTTGAGGCGGTCACAGAATCTTTCAAACTGGGTTTTATTGATTCTCCCTTTAGTGGAGAACAATCTAGTCCCGTTTTGAAGAGTGTTGTAGTTTGTTTTTTTTTTTAAGCTAGAGCAGGTTAAATTTAATTTTGGTGAATATAGTGGAAATCGCTCTTTCGCTTTAGTTCTCCTAATCGGAAGCTAATTTCAGCTTCCCTAATGTCACTCAGTATTCCTGAACAGGTTATAGAGGTCAGGTCATTTTCACGCAGATCACATCAGCACTGTGTGTAATTCTGACATAATGAATCCTTCTGATTGACTTCAATATGTGGCAGAGTGACTAATTCATACTTTCGCCAACTTCACTCCTCAAACCACACAAAGGTCAGATCCTGCAAATAAAGCAGACTTACAGTGGCACCTCCTCTGCTCAAATGGACCAGAACGGCCGAGGCCTCATGGATTTCACTTCCATCATAAACCCCGCAGCCCGCCAGCACCACAGCGACGCGTTTAGCCATCTGGGAGGAATAAAAGCTTTTATTCAGAGTCTGGACCGTCCTGAGAGTCAGCAAGCTGCGACTACTGTGCTGGAGAAGGCTGAGCAGCATGTCGGACGGCCCCTTTCTAACACTGCTTCCTCTTCTGTGGATTACAAGGGGCGTGAGATAGTGTTCGGGCACGTTAGCTCATTAGCGCCCTCGTGTGTTTGAACAGGAGCGTCACCACGGTACGTTTGAGAAAATATCCAAAAAGCATAATGATTTTTGCTTTATCTAAACACAATAAAAAAATTATAAGCAAGCACTAAAATAAGTTATATTCCTACTTTATTAATTTGGAAAAGACACTGAATTTAAAAATAATGTGTAATAAAATACAGTTGAATTGTGCAGTGAATTTTGAATTAAGCTTTAAAAAAAGTTAAGCTTGACATTTAAATGAAAATATTAAAATAAACTAGCATTAATTACGTTTTGGTATTGTGCAATTTCAAACTAAAATCTCCACCAGAATTTTTTTTTAATCCTTGCAGGGAAAAAAAAGAAGTATAGTTTTTTATCCGTTTGGTTTTTACTTTTAAAGTTTCAATCTTTAAATCAGCCCTCCAGGGGATTTTTTTTTTTTTTTTTTTTTTTTTTTGGTTCCCTCGCAAAAATGTTGCCCTTTGGTGCAAAA